ATTCATTAGTGGGTGTCAGCATGGCTTCCTGGAAAAAGAAACTACGACAGTTTTCTCAAATAATATGGAAAATGGATATCAAACGGACGTAATTTGGGCAGACTTTTTCTCTTTCTCTTTCTTTAATTCTGGTGTCCCGCAGGATAGCCACTTAGACCCAATGCTATTCATAATTTCAGGTAATGATGTTGTTTTCATGTTAACACACAGTGAGGTATTAATATGTGCTGATGACATAAAAATTTAAAAAAATAGGCTCTTTAAATGATGTGTTGTGTCTTCAAGATTATCTTAACCGATATAATCAATGTAAATAAATGTATTCAAATGTGCGTCTCTAGGTAAAGACAGACACTTTTAACAAACTACACTTTAAATGGCCAAGCCCTTAGTCGAGTCGATTCATTCAACCTATGTAGGAATGGATTTAATGGAATTCTCATATGCATTGGTGGCCATAAGTTGCTCATCAGAGCGACAGAGATCCTCTCTAAGAGAATAATTAAGGACCAAGGTGTTTTTTTCGATAACAACTTATCATTCAAAAACCACCCAATGTTGAATTTTATTAAACGCTGATAAAAGTAGTTTATTGGTCCTTATATCTTAAAATCGCTCTACTCATGCCTTGTCCGTCCTAATCTGAATGCGCTTCGCAAGTATGGTTACCCTATTACAATACACATGTAGACAATATTAAGACTATTTAAAAAAATGCTTGAATACGCCTTCTTCCTTGGGAATTCTTCTACCTTATGAATACAGACTTATATATTGATTGACTTACCCACATTGAGCAAAAGACGTAATGTCGCGGATATGTTATTCATTTTTCAACTTATGAAAACTGATCTTATCTCTTTAGATATTTTAAATAAAATTTTCTAACTCAAACTTTAGGTTTCGTTTCCCTAATCTTTTCATGGTTCCTTTTCATTGGACCAATTGGGTCATTGGGAGAAACATGGACTTGTCAGTAGGACGCTTAGTACTTAACAAACACAAACTTGACTTTTCACCAACGGAAGACATGATGGAAAAACTTTTATTTACTTATAGTTAAGTATAGCGTCTTCTTATATTAACAAATTCTTGTTTTAGTTTTTAATTGTTTATTTTATTTAATGGAGTATTACTACTATTAAATTTTTGTTTTTTATTATATAAAAATTTTTAAAATTAATTTTTAAGTCAATAATTATTTATAGTCTAAAAGGAGAAATGTTTGAGCTAAACATAAGTGAATAAATATTTTCACATTTAAATTAACTTCCTGGATTGTTCCTATAATTTGTGTGACATTAGGTAGGAATATTTCCTGTTCTTATAGAAAAATGGAATTTTCAACCTGCAAATAAGTAGTTGCAATTCTATTATATGTATAATATCAACATTCACTAGTCCTCTTTTCGGTTTACTAATTGATAAATGTGGTTAAGAAATGTTTATTAGATTTTGTCTGGAACTGTTGCAACTATAGGTTCACATATTAGCATTTACTATGCTATCACCCTATGTAGGAATAGTTTTAATGGAATTCTCAAATGCATTGGTGACCATAAACTGCTTTTTAATAAGATTATAACGATATATTAATCACGTTCAATAGATGAATCAAACACTTCCGATATTAAAGTATCTCGTCGTCAGAGTGACAGAGATCCTCTCTAAACAGAATAATTACTATTTTGTTTAAATTTAACAGAATTATTTTAATAGACAATTTTAATAAAACATAAATTTATTTATAATTTTTATAAAATATAAATGTATAGTCTTTTTATCATTTTTAAAAATCAGACTTTTATTAGAATTTTAAAGTAATTTAATAAGTGAACAAAAAATTAGAAAGCTAAAAAAAACTCAAAATAGAACAAAAACATATATTATTCAATGTATAAAATGCTGTATAATGTCTAAAAGATATTTGTTATAGTGCTTACTAGTCTCACTATGCCCGTCCGTTCGTCCGCCGGTGGACATGTTCGGTGAAACGGTGAGAACCTTAAAATTTATTGCAGCGAAACTATATACTATATTTTTTAAATTTTGCAAAAGCAAGACCGGCTTCTTCTGCAGCGGCGTACGATATCCGAAAGGTGCAGAAAAAATAAAATAGCCGTCAAAATTTACCGTTATCTAAAATCAGTTTTTTTCAAATTTTTATAGCATTTTCTTTTAGGCTGCAGGCTGCATGAGTTTGAAATTTAAGCAGTTTATAAATATTAATAAATATTGCATTTCGTTTCATGAAAGAAATTTTTTTTACCTTCACCCCCTCTCAAGTTACCGCCTTTTGAAATTGATAAAGTTTGATTAAAGATTTTTGGCACCTTATATTTCCGAAAATGCAAGCTTTTCCAAATTTTTATAAATGCAGAAAGCTAACGGAAAGTATCATGTCATTAAAAAATATAATTATTTTTCTTAGCTCGGGCAAATAACCCTTAAATTCGGGTATTATATTACCTTCCGTTAAATCTTTTAATTCAAAGACTGCATACATTGCTCAACCTAAATACATTCGTTTTTAACTTATTCGTATATAAATGAAAGTAATTTTAATGATGCACATATTTATAATTTAACATATTCCTTTTAAAAACAGCATTTTCACTTGTTGAAGGAAAAAGGCTTACATTAAAACCCATTGGTTTGACCAAAATAAAGTTGGCAACTTTATTATATGTAGATGTTATAAAAAGTTAAGCCAACTATTTTGTATTTTACACATTTTTTAATTTTATGTTAACTTAAAAATCAATTATTTTATTTGGGCTTATGTAAGTTCTACAAATGTTGTTATTAGAGGTTTAAACAGCTGCGATTAAATTCTTATCTAGTTAAAATAATTAAAGCTCTACATTCTAATAAAACAAAAAATTAACCTTCAGGTGTCAAGTTCGTCTAGAAACCTTCAAGTTGAATATATAGTAAAACTATGACAAATAAAAATAATACACTTAAGAATCAATATAAAAACAAAATGCATATTAAAAGTGAAGCATTGTCGAAATTCAATCTAACAAAATTTGCTGCAAGCCTATGCTGTTATCGCAAAAGAAATTGATCGGCCCCCGCTTATTTTCATTTATAGAAAAAAGATTTAATAATACTTTATTAAATTAGGTACATATAATAAACAGCTTATAAATATTATAAATAATAAAAAAAAGTTTAAATGTATTCAAAACAATAAACCAATCTGCAAAAAAACTTGTAGTTGAAATTCAAAAGGGCAACAATAATAAAATTACCTCTCTTTCTTTTAATTATTTTATTTCGTTATCGTCAAAAAACCCAAATAAGAAAATATTTTCACACTATATGCAAAATATGTATGTTTTAACACATAGTGTGAAAACATTTTAATTGATGCTTAAATTTGTGGTTGGTAATGTATAGTCGCATTTCCAAAGGAATAAAAATGAATTTAATTATTGTGTATCATTAAAACATTTGTACGAGTACTAATACAGTAATCAATGATCTAATAGCACTTATTGATAATTTGTATATTATAATTGTAGACATTATTGTCTTTTTTATAAGCATCTCTAAAATTTGAATTGCAGATTTATATTTTTTTTATATTTTTTACAAATGAGATATGGTATTGTGATATTTAAGTTTTCCCATATTTTTCTCTTAAATAAAATATTTAGTTTTATAGCATTGATTATTAATGTAAGAATATACAAACACTTTTTAATTACAATTGTAGGATTGTAAATACTATTTTAATAACAAATAATATTGTTCATTAAAAAATGATTAAAACATTTCTGTAAAAGTGCAACCTACACTAACTTTAATATTTTATTACCAAAACTATTTTTATTCAAAGTTGAAATCATTTGTGTACTTAACAACGAAAAGCGTAACACAACAATATAAAACAAAAATTTAAAATTTAAAAATTTACGGTTTTTTTATTTTACCACTTCATCTTCAAAAGAGCTAAGTCAGAAAATTTTTATAAATTTTAGTATTATTTACTAAATTGCACGAGTCCACCCACGCGCTGCAGATATATGCCGTCTCATTCTGTTCCAAGCTCAATCCACACATTTGCCCGTCCTTTCCACATTAACCGTGAAGAGACAATGTAAAATTAACACTCCAGCCATTACTCTCAAATCTGGATGACCCAATAAGATCAACTTCTTCCCCGCTTCCGGAAGGGCTCTATAAATTTTTTGTGTGTCATTCTTGGACATTGGCTCGTTCAATACAAGGCTAAAAACCGATAAATGAAGGCGACTTTCTAAACAAATTTTGTTGAGTTTCGTTTGTTGTCTAACTTTGCAACTTTTCACGGAAATCAGGTGCCACCAACTGGGCTTTTACTATGTATATATACCAAACTTATATTTCTCCATGTATGTATATCGTGAAAAATTCAAAAATTTATATGAAGCTTAATATATATATTTCTATTCTGGTCGTTACATCAATAGTAAAGTAAATCTATATGTATTGGAAATATCAGAAACCAAAGAAATAAGGATTCAGAAACCAAACTTTCAAAAGTTTAAAGATCATTTTAACCTTGTGCAAAGCTGTCGGCAAAAGGGAACTTTACAGTCAGTTATATGTTTTCCATATTACATTTTTCATTATATATAACCTTCAACATTAAACAAATTAAACACAAAACTTGATAAGAACGACTAACTGCTACCCAAGAAATAAAAGTTTGCGTTACTAAACCTGCTTTTGTTTAAATTATTTTCGTATGTTTCACATGTTCATATAGGTTTTACAGAAAAAGTTTCAAACTCAAGCTTTACTTATTAGCTTAATTTTTACGTTAGCTTCAATGTTTCAAGTATATTTTTAATAAAAATGTATGTTTTACTACTCGTATTTTGAAATCGAAGTGCTTGGAGGCGATGATATATTCTGTTATATTTATCTAGAATATAGATCAGTTTAGAAAAAGTCTTCATTGAAATCTAATTTAGTCTTGATCATGAACATGTTCACTCTTTATTTACTCGCAAGTTGCAAGAATCACATTTTTCTCTTTGTGGGCTATTCTCCTCTCTTCTTCTGTAAAAAGAAAATAATTTGTTTTTGATTCTCAATCTTAAGCATGTTGCATATAGTCATATCAATAGTTTATAACTTTATTGAGCAAAATGAAGAAAATTGAAGAAAAAATTTATTTCAATCGTATGATTAAAAAATCTTATTTAACGTACAATAAATTATTACTAGACACAAAAGTCATTACACACCAGTGAGCAATATTTAAAGTTTGTACTAACATCGCCTTAAAATGGGCATATTCATATAAGCAAATGTTTAATTTTTTTATAACATCTTACTTTCAATTCAACATGTTTGAAAAGTAACGTGAATTTTTTTTACAACAGGTATACTTATACCGAAACACGTTTGTGTAAAATTTGAAAAAACTTTTAATAAACAAAAAAAAAATTCAATTCAAAGAGTTCAAAAAGGGTTCAAAATTCAAAGAGGCTTGCACGAATTATTGAATTGCAGTTGTTTTAGTTGTTCTTCATTGTATTTTCAATCCAAGTATCATAAAGTGGTACTCTCGTATAAACAGTAGGATGAGTTGGATCACCTAAATACATTAAACAAAATTACAACAATATTTTAACAAAACCTCATATAAATGAACAGTTCTTACTTACCGCAATCATAACCCCATGAAACAACCCCTACTAGATATCCGTCATACGTTATTGGACCACCAGAATCACCCTGACAAGAGCTTTTTCCAGCTTCATCTCCAGCACAAAACATTGTATTCGACAAAGCATTATTGTAAAGTTGTTGACACGTTTCAAATGAAAGCATATTAACCCAAACACCTTGCAAATATGGAGCCAAATTACCATTATTCGAAGTAAGACCAAAACCGGATACACGTAATAATTTACCAGGTGCTGGTAAATTACTAGCTATAGAAATTGTTCTTATATAATCAGTTGGAACGAAAGGACTTTGTAAAAGAATTAAAGAAATATCATTATGTAAAGTGGACGGATTATAACCGAAATGGGCAATAAGTTTTTTTGCCTGCCTCACAACACCACCAAAATCCCAATTATTAGACCCAGCTCGCACATATGTGCTACTCGCGGTTTGCCCATGTACACAATGGGCTGCAGATAAAACCCATTCCTAAAAAGAAAAAGACGTACATACTTATATTGAAAATAAAAAAGTGAATAATTTTTTTTTTCAATTTATACCATCGTAATTAATGAACCACCGCATAGATATGGTCCTAGTGAAATTCCTACTTGATATTTACGATCTACTACTTTTAATGCAGAACCACCAACTATACGATCATCGATCTTCAATGGAATTTCAGTAATTTCTGTTTTAGCGTTAGCAATTAACACGAAAAATATCACAATTGTGCCAATCGATATAGGAAACATCTTGAAATAAACTAAATGAAAAATTAATGTGTTACACTATATTTAAAGAAAAAACTTAATATAAAAACCTTTTCTTTACTTTAAGGTTATATTTGTGTTTACTGTTGTCTTAACGCCATGTACACGAAATTATATAATGTTAAACAAATATTTAAGAAACACTATTTGTTTGCCAAAAAATTAAAATTAACGTCAGACTATTTTTCTCTCCTTGTTTGCCTACGAAAAATGCTCAGAATATGTCAAGAATAACTGTGATATTTAAGGTGCTTTTGTAATTAACTGAAATATTTCATATGATACTAACATTTATATGTGAGCATGTATGAATATATGAAAAATGAAAAGTAATTTTAATACGATATAGTATAATTTTAATACGATATATACTTATGTATATAGATGTACATATAGAAAGAGACTGCTTTTTTAGGTAGAAATTTGTATTTTTTTTAATAAATCGATTAAAAAACCAGCATGTATGAAGAAAACTATACTCTTTTAGCTCTTTCTAGCTTTAAAATGAGGTCGAAGCTAGAAATATAGTGTTTAAAGACAATAAAATAAGTAAACTCTAGGAAAAGATTTATAATGGCATAGATATGCCCAGGTACGGCGGTCGATTTTTTTGCTTAATGATCCAGAACAAGTACGGATCAAGCTTTGGTTTCTCAAACTGTACTCTCTAGATTAGAAAGAACTTGAAACTTCATGGTACATAGCCTTTAATAAGTATTTTAATGACATAGAGAGCTGTTTCAAAGATTAATTAGTAAAAACATTTTGTTCGATCACATCTATGAGGAAAATAGATGAAGAATTAGAAGAACTTATTAGTTAGATAAAAAAGCTTTTTAAGTAAATTAAACAAAAACATATTTTAAAACGAGAAAAAAGTTATATTCCTGATTGTTCTGTTTGCACATATGTATATCTGTTTAAAAATATATATGTAGCATTTAAAAATCCTTATCTGAACTATAAACTATAGAAAACAAACTAAGCTCACATACATTAAATAAAGTTGGTATCACCACACTATTAAAATTATTTTCATTCATATACCAAACTATTTCTAGGTTTGCATATATCTGGGATGAACGATTTATGCAGTATTTGAAATAAAGCAAAAATTAATTTAAGGAGGGGTTAACATCATGCTCAATTTTAAGCGTTTAATTGCGTGAGTTAAGAAAAACTATTATATTTTTTTATGGCTTGAAATTTACCGTTACCTTTTTGCGTTTATAGAAATTTGATAAAGCTTACGGTTTCGAAAATATAAGGCATCAAAAATTCAAATTTTACAAATTTCAAGAGGCGATAACTTGAGGGGGTGATAACTCGAGAGGTTTTCTTCTAACGAAATAAACTATTTGTTAGTGTCTAAAAGTTACTAAAATTTCAGGCTCCCATAACTTGAAGTCTAGAAGAAAAACGACAACAAAAATTTGGAAAAAATAGATTTTAGATAACGGTAAATTTGAACAGCCATTTTGTTTTTTTTAAGTTTAGCTATAGTATACCGCGATACGAGAAGCAAGCCACTGCCTTTCTGCGTTTACAAAATCAAAAAATGTTTATGGTTTCACTGCAATAATTAGTTAAAAAATGACAATTTTAGGGTATTGTGGGGGGGGGGGGGGGTTAAACTTCTAGAGGGAGGAGATAGATAAAAATTTTCTTCTACGGAAATAAATTTGTAGTAAAAATCTAAGTACAAATTGAATTTCAGCTTTCTATCTTCAAGGGTGTAGAAGTTTTGTAAACATGGGCACGGACGGATAGAGTGAAATTAATAAGCACTTTTTTTCAAAAATTTTTTGGATTGACAGTATTTAAATTTGTACGAAATTAAAATTAACTTCAAAATATTTTTCTTCCCCATTTATTTTAAAAATATACGCAAAATTATTCTATAAACTATTAGTTCATATTCAAAATTTTTTCGAAATTTTTTGAAATTATTTCAACCAAATCAAAAAAGTTTAAAGTAAACCAACCTAAAACGAGGAAACCAAAAAATATGTTTAGCGGTTGTAATTATTCCAGTTTAAATATCTATAATTCACTAATGTGGTCAACGAAAACCAACAAAGGAAGTCAATGATCAGCAACCTCAATAAATATTCATATAGGGTATTTTAATTATTATTTTTTTGAAAATACCAAGCGTAATTAATTAATATTTATTGCTCAAAATTCAAATTATTCCACTATTCACAAATATTAAACTGTTTATATAACAACATCTCGTAACCAAAATAGTACATTCGCATAATAATGATTTCTTTTTTACCGTATAAAAACGTCAGGTTTAGTTTGATTATAATTTCATTTCATTTTTAAATATTATCCCTCATTGTATTTGAAATCCAAGTATCATAAAGCGGCACTCTAGTAAAAACGCTGGGATAATCTTTATCACCTGTAATAAATATAAATTTACTACATTTAGAATACAGTTAAGTAGGTACAATATAACATAAGTCTTCAAACACTTACCACAATCGTGACCCCATGAAACCAGCCCGATTAAATATCCATTATATGTTAAAGGACCACCAGAATCACCATAACATGCACCTTTTCCTCCTTCTGGAACTCCAGCACAAAATTGTGTATCAGTTAAACCGTTGTTATAGAATTCTTGACATTTTGAAAATGAAATCATGTCAACCCAAACTGTTAGCAAATAAGGAGCTAAATCACTTTCTGTGGCAGTTTGACCAAAACCAGATACTTGTAATTTTGAACCACTTGCTGGTAAATGTTGAGCTATAGCAATAGGGCCAATATAATTACTTTTCATGAAAGGACTTTTCAAAAGAATTAAAGCAATGTCATTATTTAAAGTCCCTGTTTCAAAACCGAAATGTGGAATAAGTTTTTTCGCCCATCTTAAAACTCCACCATAATCCCAATTGTTAGAGCCAGCACGAACCGTTGTGTCTTCCTTATAGACATTAATAACACAATGAGCTGCAGTTAAAACCCATTCCTTAAAGGAAAATAAGTTATGTAACGAATTTGCAAAAAAATTTTATAAAAGTGATAAATAAATTTAAATCTACCAATGAAATCAATGTACCCCCACACATAAATAGTTTCATTAATACAGCAACCTGAAATTTACGATATTTAACTTGTAATGCCGAACCACCAACTATACGTTCATCAATTTCAAGTGGAGAATCAGAAGGCTGTGTTTTAGCATTAGAAATTAATATTAAGCAAATACCTAACAAACTAATTAACACACGAAACATTTTTGAACGAACTAAATAAATGGTTTGTGTACTTCTTGATATTTAAGGCAAAAAATTCTATTTGTTTAACCGTTTTTCAATTAAAATTGTCGTTTTTTTTATAGTCTATATATTTTTACGTTATTCATTAATAACATAATATATGTAGGTTAATCATATTAAAAATAACCTAACAAAAACAACAGTAAAAAAAATTGTATTAAGCAAACAAAGACTTAAAACACACTGTTTGAATTGGCTAAAAACTTAAACTAACGTCAGAATTCTTTCTTACTCCTGTTCTTAAGATTGATATTATAAAATATTTTTTAATATTTTGGCAAATTTTTTTTTCCATTTGAGAGTCTAATATATTTTCACATTTTTTCTTGCATAAGATTTTTATTTGTACCTATACCTATGTATAAGTATATTTATTGGAATGAAATAAACACCAGAAAATTGTTTTTCTTTTTTTTTTAAGTGTTTAAAATGATCTCGTTGGTTTTAACCCTCGACAAAGACAGGCAGGGCCAAATAGTAATCAGACTAAATTGACTAACAATTAGTCCCTCTATCATGTTTTTGTGTATTATATTGTGTATTATATGTATATGTATATGTGTATTTCTTCCCACTGGAAGGAAGTCACTGGAGTTTTTTTCCATAAGGCGATATACCTCAATATTTTCTTGCTGAACTTTCTTGATATGACATAGCTTTATGAAAATGCTTTTAAATATTTCTTTCAAATTTTAAACACATTAGTAAGCTTTTAGTTAACATACGCAGAAAAATGTGAATCTGAACTCTAATATCAAATTTGAACAAATTCTGTCAATTAGTTCCTTAGATATGAGGAAAAATGTAAAATCGGTGCTAGTTCGATTTCCGAGCCTTGATATTCCGAAAAAATTTAAAGTTCTGTGCAAATGTTTATTTTCAACAAAATGTGGCAACGTTAAAACAGCAGTTTAGGAAAAAAAACCTAATAACTAGCACTTTACTGCTGAAAATATATGCTAGTTTATTTAATTGGTTATTTCTGGCAGCATTTATATGACATGTATAAGAAAAACATGCTCAATTTTTTCGATGGCCGATTTACTATTATTCTACATATCCACTACGTATAGAACGCATTTAGGAAAAGTGTATAATGTCAAAGCTTTTATTAAACTTTTTGGAATGTGATACTTTGTAAAGTTTACGTCGAAAGTGCATTATGGAAGTCACGGTTCATTGTTTTAATAACCTGAACTCATATGTTAAATTTCAAGAAAAACGGTTCATTATTTCTCTGTATATGCGCAATAATTTATATTTGGCTATAAGTTATGTAGCTTCTTGTACTATCGAACGAAGCTTATATATAATATTTCAAGTTGATCTGTTGAATATTTTCTTTCGGTAGTTCATCGAAAGAATTATATTAAGAAAATATTCATCATGTTAAATATTTTCTTTCGGTAGGGCATCTCACGAAAAGTGAACCAGATCCACACGAAGAAAACGCTTCTGAGCTGACTCAAAACTAAATATCCCTAAAAGGAGACCACACCTGGCTAGCATACTCCAGAAAATGCCCAACGAAGGTACTATATTGATCACGAAACTCCTTCGATAATTGCTTTGCAAAGCCCAGAGTGAAACTAGCGGAGTTAACAATGCTAAACCTCAATGGTAATGACAATGGTAAACATCAAGTCCGTAAAAAAATTTTTAAATCGCCAAGACCCTGCGAAATCAAATCTTGCTTAACGAGACCTCTGGCATTCGAAGACTCAACCGATTAAAAACCAACAAAAAAAAGCAAAATCATATAGCCCAGAAAACTCCTCCCTCCACTTGTCCAAAAATAACCATAATTAAGCTCCTTTAAAGCTCTTACGCCGACTCTAGACAGACACTCACACAAACCGAGTAAACACGGCTATACAATTGACGGCAAAAATAATAATAAAAAAGCAAACCGTAGACTCAATGTCCCAAACACTCAAAAATTTAAGCACAATATTAGTTAATCCCACATAAGATAAAAAATATGATTTCAAGATTATTAAATTTTATTTTAAATTACTACGTACATATGTAGATACATTTGTATATTTTAAATAAAATTAATTTTAGTTGTATTTGTGTTTTGAATAAATATACGCACAAATAAAACCGCTTTTCGTTAATTTTTTTGTTTTTTTTTTTAATTTTTAGTTTTCAGTTTTTTAAAAGGTTCAAGTCAGAACTCACAATTTCGCCATTTGGTTTTTGTACCTAATTGAATATTCTGAAAATTTCAGTATACAGTCGGAAACGGATAAGTGAAAAAGGTTTTTGGCGAATATTTTATTTCAATTATCCTTTTTTTTTCTTTTAAATGTTTTTCGTATAAGTAAATACATTGCACTTATTCGTTGTTCATGGTTACAAATTTTCAATTGTATAAAGTTTTTTTATTTTTTAAATCTTTATATATTTCATTTTCAATGAAATGAAAAATAATTTATATTTCTCTTATTGTTTTGATATAGTTTTTCTATTTATAAACGCACACCTATCATCGCTTGTTTCATCAACTAGATTTAGTTCATAATTTGTCAGCACTTGATCAACTATTTCTTGATCATCGTATTCCCCAAAGCATGAAACATTAAAATCAATCTCTACTGAAGTATTAATATTAAGTAGTGGTGATATAAAGTACTAGCAATGGTTTCTCAAATACTCTGGGATATCTACATATGTCTGGCAAATTTATTGTTTGAAACTCCAAATCGTCATCAATTTATTTTAACATTTTAATTTTTTCTTTTACACGTAAATTTGCTAACTTTTTTCTGCCGTTAAACATGTTTAAAACTTTTTCAAACAGCTGTTAAAGGTGAAGTTTAAAATTTATTACATAAACAAATACATAGATACATAATATGTCAAACAAACTTTTGTGACATATCATTTATAAAAGTGCTGGCAGTTTTGCAATTTTAGACGACATTTAATATTTTAGCAAAAATGAATAAATTTAGCACGAGTATTTAAAAAAATTAGCTAAGGCGTTCTAAATTATAATAAACTTTTGTTATTTGGGCAAAATATTTATTTGAGCAAACTGTTTTTTTTTTTTTTCATTTATATGTTTTTCACTTATGCGTTTAGGTTTATATCAAAAATCAAAGTAAGAAGTTTTATCTTCAGAAAATTAAAACTGTGAAATCTGTAAAAAAGGACGTTTGATAAAAAATGTTCTTTCGAAAATCGCAGAATGTATAAATTTTCAAATGTAACAAATATTTTTGAAATAATTTTGTAATGTTACAAAATTATTTCATGTACATGTAATTTCAGCTTTATATATTGTACATGTTTACATGTACATAGCTCTTTACTAAAAACTTATTTCTGTAGTAGAAAATTTTTACCTATTTTTATTAGCCTGAAATTTTAACAGCTTTTAAACACTAATAAATATTTTATTTTGTTAAAGGAAAATTTTTTTCTATCTCCACACCCTCTCAAGTTATCGCCTCTTGGAATTTGTAAAATTTGAATTTTTGATGCCTTATACTCCCGAAACCGCAAGCTTCTTCAAATTTCTATAAACCAAAAAAGCTAACGGAAAATTACATTAAAAAATATAATAATTATTTGCTTAACTTACGCAATTAACCTTTAAAATCGAACATTATGTTAACCCTTCTTTAAATTTATTTTTGCTTTAATTCAAAGACTGCATAAATCATTTATCCTAAATATATGCAATCCTAGAAATAGTTTCGTTTATGAATAAAAATAATTTTAATAGTGTGGTAGGTATACATGTGGGAATGACTACTTCTTATTTCATATTCAGCTGCATTTATTTGTATGTTTCATAACTGTTTTCATTTTTACTCTCTAAATTTGGTAAAATGTCATTTAAATTTAAAATTGAATTTTTTACTTTTCGAGTCAGTCAAAACGTGAACGTAGTATTGTAAAGTCGGAATAGCAAAACAATTAATAATAATTTAACACTTTTTTTTTATAATTTTATATCTAAATTTTCAATCGAATTTAAGAAAAAATTTATTTATTGTAAAAAGACATTGAATTAAATAATATTATACTTAAAACAAAACCATTTCGTTTAGTCTTTTTATTTCAAATCCCACATACATAAACAGTATTTAAAAGAAGTATTTTCACTTGTTTAAGGGAAAAGTGCTACAGTACAAACCATTGGTTTGACCAACTTTATTTATTTTTTTATTTCGCTTCATTTTATTACCCATTTTGGATCTGGTTCTGGTCGTGATAGACAGAAGATGCAAAAAGTGAGTTCTGATGTAATTTTGAAAATTTGTGAAATCGAAAATTTTCTGGGAAACGTCAGCTTTGAGAATTTGTGTTAATATCGTATGTATAATTGAAAAAGTGAATTTTTGATATATTCATTACTAAAAGTATTTAATTGTGATTTTTAGTTTTCTTATTTTCAAGTTTTCCACTTTGGGGTAAAATGACTTTTGGGATAAAATTGCGCGACAAATGTTAGCTAAAACCGCCGATGCGTAATCATTCACATCGGAGTGGTTTTCAATTTCTAATGAATTTAATAGAAATCCAATATTTACAGGATATATGGGAGAAAACAGCTTGCAAGCCGTTTGCTTAAATTTTCAACATTTTTTTTTATTTTAACAACGGTTGAAACCAAGCTTCTGGTTTTAATTTTTCGGAAAAAAAATAATGTTAAAAATAATGGAAATTTCTTCATGCAACTGCAGAACAGATGGATGACGTAATCAAAGGAACGAGTTAAAGGCAGAAAAATTATTCATTAAAAAAATTTTTCTCCTCGAAGTTAAAAATAACTTTCTATGGACTTAGTATAATTTCCTATTTCAATTGCTATACAATATTTCAGCGTTATATGTTGTTTTATATTGTATTAATTGAATGGCATATAATTTATATAAGTTAAATTGTCAATAATTTCAATGTCTAAATCATATTGGGTCCTGTATATGAAAAAATAAAATACATAAAATTTTGATATTTAACCTTTCTTCTTTCTTTTAATTATTATTTCTCATCGTATTTTCAATCCACGTGTCAAAATATGGTACTCTTGTATAAACCCCAGGGTATTCTTTTGCAGCTAAAAAAAAGCAACATAAAAATGCAAATTATATAATTCTTTTCACCAAAGTTCATATATGCTTTCTTACCACATCCATAGCCCCATGAAACAACACCTATCAAATATCCATTATATGTTATCGGACCACCAGAATCACCTTGACATGAATCTTTTCCACCCTCTGGTACACCAGCACAAAACATTCTTTCAGTCAATTCACCATCGTATAACTGATTACATTTTTCAAATGAGATCATATTGACGAAAACATTTAGCAAATATGGTGCAAAATTACCCCCTGATGAAGTCGTACCATAACCTGATACTTCCAAGAGTTTACCATCTGCTGGTAGATTTGAAGCTCTTGGAATAGAATCCACAAATTCATTTCTTGTGAAAGGACTCTTTAGAAGAATCAGAGAAATATCAAAATCATATGTTTCTGGATCATAGTTACTATGAGGTATAAGTGTTTTGGCCCATTTTACAACACCACCATAATCCCAATTATTAGAACCGGCACGGGCGTATGTCGAACTTACTGACTCTCCATATACACAATGAGCAGCAGACAAAATCCATTGCTAAATAATATAAAAGAGATGTATATGTACATACATAAATGTATTAGGGCAAACATACAATAAATAGGTCTCAAGCTTACCATCGAAAGTAATGAGCCACCACAAACATATGGTCCTACTATAAGGGCAACTTGAAAGTTGCGATATCTAACTTTTACTGCTGAACCACCAACTATTCGATCGTTAATTTCTAATGGAGAATCAGAAGACTGCGTCTTAGCATTAGAAATAAATACCAAAAAGATGACTAAAGCGCTAATCAATACACGAAACATTTTCCAATCAACTGAAGGAATAATTGATGCGTTCGATATTTAAAGGAGAAAATTATTTGTTTAACAGTTTTTTTTATTATAATTTTTTTCTTTATTATTACTTAATAAAAAAATATTTGTAAATATAATTAATTAAATTATTAAAATTAAATATTAATTGTACAAAAAAATGTTAAATAAATATAAACATCTGAGAACATATTTTTTGAATTAATCTGAATGTAAATTTTATTTTACGTCAAAACCTTTTCAATTTCATCTACATATAAAGTACAAATGTACATATATATGTAAGTATACAAGAAATGTGTTCGGATTAATGATTTGTTTTTTCAATTTTAAAGACCTTTATTTGAAAGTAGTGGCCCCTATTAAGGAAACATCCAAAGAACGAAATACGAATGTCGACAGATACCGTTATCGCTTTATTTTAGCATTATGAACCGGTAGCCGATTAAATCAAGATGTACAAAGAAAAAACCTTAAGCAGCAAAATAACAAAATCTATCGGAAATGTGGTGCATCGTACTATCGTAATATTTTTATACTCGTAAAAACATATATTCGAATGGTATTACAAATTAGCTTAACGGTTTGTGACGCTAAGAAATAATAGTCTAAGATATAGATATAAGGGTATGTTTTTCATTCGTGTCGAATTTTTAGTCGTTTTAACCATGTATGTCTGTCCGTCCTAACGATAACTCAAAAATTAATTGACTTAAATCCATTAAAGTTTCACAAATGATTTATAATAGTAAATGCAAGAAATCTACTTGAATTGGCTATGCCACACAAAATACTGAAGTTATAATATCAAAACTCCACACAAGCAAATATATTATTGAGGCTTTTATATGTAATAAAAGTTGTCGAAATTTCTTAATTCATTGAGTTAGCTGCCATACAACTTCAACAGTTGTTTGATCATTTCTTAGAAACTATTGAAATTAAAGTACTCAAATTTTGCTTAAATTAATATGGTTATAAGTGGTTATAAATGCCAATAATATCCCAAGTTTGTACAGGTAACACAGAGTTGATATAATCAACTCTATTTTTTCTCGTTTACGTAATAAGAGCCAAAAATTTATTATTCAACAGGGTTTACCCACCCCTAAATTAATTTTAATCGCTCAAAATCGCTCAAATAAAAAATTAATAAAAAAAAATGAAAAATTGGAAATATTCTTCACTGACCAAAAGCATTTCTACTTTAATTAAAATATCTCTTTTCGGAATCTCACTTTTTGTTTTTTTATTTTTAATGATTTTAAATTTAATTTATTATATATATAAAGCTACTTCTCAGGTGGTAAAAAGTACGGGTACTTCTAGAAGGGCTAGAGACATGGGACAAAAGGCATTAGGTAGAGTTTTACCTCTAGGGTCTCAGAAAAATTTGATATTGGAACTTTTTAGCCTCGAAATAGCTCTATTTTAAGATTTTCTGAAAAAATTTTTGTATAACAAAAGCACGTTTTTCTTTTATACTTTTTATAATTAGAAACACAAACCAAGAAATAAATGATACGTTTTACGTTATTAACATATTAGAAACACAAACCGGAAAATAAATAATAGTTGAAAATATAATGATCTCACATATTTTTGGTTCGCATAATCGAATTAATCTTAACGTAAATAAATGTCAGCTTTTATCAGACATCAGATGTTTTGTGACATCTGAATATCAATATTTCATTTGTTGTTGTTTTGAACATTACGTTTCGTCAGCAAGCTTTAAAAAAATATACATACAGAATATATGTACGTATGTAGTTAGAATTTTATTATTATTGTTCCAAACGAAAAACTGTAAAATGCTAAATTTTAATACATTCATATGTACATACACATATTTGAATACAATTATTATTTTATTTTAATCTAAACCTTTTCTTTATTTGAGAACTTATTTCTATATGTTCACCCGCAGTTTTAAAAAAATAGGTATACATTCATAATTATGTACGTTTTTGCTTAAAATTTTATTTCAAATTTTTTGAATAAAAAATTTTAAAATGTTCAATTCTAATACATTAATGTTCATACATATATTTGAATAAAAATATTATTTTATTTATGCCTAAACCTTTTCTTTATTTGAAAAATTTATTTCTTATGTTTCCCCCATGATTTAATAATTATGTGTTTCTATATGCCAAACCACAAATTTGAATATTATTCAATTCATATAGAAAGCTTAAAAAAATTAGTTAGGAAGTTTTAAAAAAATATATACATACATATTTATGTACTTAACTATTGCAACAATTTTTTTTTTGGAAATTTTCTTTAAATTTTTATAATAATATATTTATCTGTTATATATTTAAAAAAAAATTAAACACAAAATTTAAACAAAATAAAAAAAAAATTTTTAAAATAATCCAAAAAAAGAAAAATATGACACCATCCAGGCAAGCATTGATCCAATAACCTTCTGGCTATCAGACTACCACGCTACCCACTAGGCTACGCAGTACCTTGAATTTTCTTTAAAAATCGTACATTTTATTCATATTTCGTATAACTCTTCAAAAACCATCCTATTTTACATTATATATATAAAGCTACTTCTCAGGTGGTAAAAAGTACGGGTACTTTTAGAAGCACTAGAGACATGGGACAAAAGGCATTAGGTAGAGTTTTACCTCTAGGGTCCCAGAAAAAGCAAGAATTCTACCCGCCCTCCCCCTTCACCCCCTCCCAAGGTGCTTTGTAACCGTTTTTTACAAAATGGTACTACATCCTGTAGGGGTAATTTTTTACTTACTTTTGGTAGTATTAATATTGTATATGAATTAATTTTTGGAAGTGTGAGTTATAACAAAAAGTGAACACTTTCTTAAGAAAATTTCTTAAGAAAAGTTTTAATTATCAATAAAAAAAAGTTTATCTGGCAAATCGCATTTTTCAGGGTTCGAATCTGGGACTCATTTTACAAACACGCGTTTTATTCGCATGTATTAAAACTCCAAATACACACATGCATGCATTTTAATAGCGAATTATTTTATGCGTATACAGTAATTATATATAATAAATATGCGTATATAGTAAATATATAATAAAATATATATATTTATCTCTTAAAGTGCTTATTGTAAAAAGTATTTTAAGATTTTATGCGATATAACTCAAATCGAGGTTCTAAAATAAATTACTCAAAGGTATTAGATCTCAAAGGAACTAATTATTTGCTTAATTATGTATTTTTTGGTAATTATTTTTCAGAACTTTTCTTATTTTAGGTTTTATCTTATTATTTATTAGAAAAAAGCATATGTATATGTATCTATATTACGGGTGTGTTTTTGAAGAAATAAAGTAAACTTAAAATATCTCAGCCACAGAATGGAACACAATTTCAAAACTACAGGCATAATACTTGCAAGGCTTGCAATGCAAGCACACACGACTAGTCTTATTAAATAAATACTTGACTGTCTTATTTTTTTATACCCTGCACTTCGTGAAGGGTATATTAACTTGGTATGGAGTTTGTAACTACTTGAAGGAGTCATCTGTGGTATGGACATATATATATATATTCTTGCTCAGCGTAAAATTCTGCGTCGATTTAGACATGTCCGCCCGTCCGTCCGTCCGTCCGATCGCACGATAACTCAAAAACGAATAATGCCATCGACACCAAACTTTCACAAGTTTTTTCTTTTGTGCTAAAGACGAACCCTATTGTTATTGGACTAATTCGGACAACGGGTTCGGGTAGCTGCCATACAACTCAAAGAGTTTATTTTAAATATTTCAAAAACTAATAAAGCTATAAATATAAAATTTTGTATACATGTGTCCAATTATATTCTACACGTGCTCTAAAAATTATAATGGGGTAGCTGCACCGGTTCGGGTGGCTGCCATACAACTCCAACAGCAAATTTTTTATATTCGGCAAAATAATAAAGTCAGATTCATGAATCTTGGCAGTTATATGTCCAATTATAGGTCAAATATATTTCTGAAGTTTTAGAGGAATTGCTTGACAGGTTCGGCTACCTGCCATACAACTCCAGAAGCTAATTTTAAATATTTGGAAAAATAATAAAGTCAGATTCATGAAAATTGGCAGTCATGTGTCCAATTATAGGTCTAATATATTTCTAAAGTTTTGGTGGGATTGCTTGACAGGTTCGAGTAGCTCCCATATAAGTCAAAAAGCTTATTCTTAATATTTGGAAAAATAATAAAGTCAGATTCATGAAACTCGACAGTTGTGTGTCCGATTATATCCAATTAAAGGTCAGACATGTCCGTGAAGTTTCTATAGAATGATTTCACAGGTAATTGCTACACAATAACGAGAGGTGCAGGGTATAATTCAATCGGTTTATACCGACTGAAACGTTTTTACTTGTTATATTTAAACTTTAAACTTAAATCATTTTTTTTCAATGTCTTTGATGGAAATTAAATCTTAAAATACTTAACGTACGTTATGTATGTATACGTACATATTAAAATTTTCTTAATTCGTATTGTCCTGGACCCGTATTTCATGGTGTTCCAAGCTGAAGTGCATGCAATAGAGATTTGTCTGAGAGTCAATTTAGAAAGGGGATATAAAAACCGTACCATCTATGGGTTCTCGGACAGCAGGGCAGCATTGGTGGAACATCATTTGGGTCAGGTTACATCCAAGCTGGCATCGGTGAACAGAGTCAAGCTCATTTTGTTGCCGGGCCACAGTGCGCATGCAGGCAACGAGATTGCCGATAGGCTGGTGCGGGGTGATCCGGGGCTGACTTTATGCAGTCGTTGCCTTTCTGTGGTCTGCATTCTTCCGACGGGGGGGCCAGGCTTGCCTATCTGCTTGCGGTGGAATGCGGCCTTCACTGGCGGGACCGAATGGGCGTCGTCATGCGAAGGTGTTTCTTCTGGCCTGCTATACAATATTGAAATAACATTTTGAATACAAAAATAAATAATTTAAAAACAAATACTTTTAAAAGGCCTTTTCAAACTAAAATGTTAATCTATCCCGCTATTTTACTCAGCAAATGAGAAAAAAGTGAGTAACTGTCATATATTTTCGAAAGAGAAAACTTGTGTATCTTGTTTTTTTTTTAATATGTGTACAAAATTTCTTTACTTTGTTTTTGAAAATGAGACGTTCAGTCGATAATTTGCAAAAATCCAATTGAAAAAATGGGAAATCTTATTGAAAAAATCAAATATTCATTAGAAAATTTCTGATTTAAAAGTGGATAAAAAGTGATCAAAAAAGCGAGATAAACGTTTATGTTATAAATATTAATTTTTTTACAGTTCTATACGCTTCTGCACGCTCTGTAAGATAGGAAACTGAAATTTTAATTAAAAATGGATTCTCTAAAGGAAACATATTTCCGTTGCTTAGAAGAAAACTTTTAAATACTACACCCCTCTTCTTTTTTATGAACTTCGAAGTTCTATTATAGTTTTTGACAATTTATTATATTGAAACAAAGACATTTTCTAATTTTACAAACGCAGATTGATAGCAAGTTACAATGACAAAATGATTATTGAAATTATTCGATATTTTAAAACTGCTTTTACATTGTTTTTCTTTTAAACGGCGGCGACTTAAAGAAGTAAAAACGATTATAAATGGTCATTGATAGCAGTCTAATAAATGGTCATTGGTAGCAGTCTAAGATTAAAACAGCATCAACAATACAATTTGCAAGCTTCGAAAAAATAAAAGGTCGGGAATTGTATGAAAGTTAACGCGAAATATTTCATGCCGAACAGTATGCCATCGTTTGTTTTTGCATAATATAATTTTGGTATATTGATGAAAAAGTTTTGATAGATGATTGTTTTTTGAAAAAAAAAAATTGGACTTCTACTATTAGTTTTAAACCGAATTTATTAATATTTTTATGTATTTACGTTTCTTTATAACAAAGTAACATGATAACATATACTTTGTATTGAGAAAGTAATGCCATATATATCTATCAGTCCACCAAGTTGAAATTATTTTCCGAAAATTTGATTCGAGAAAAAAATTACAAAAACAATTCTTAATATTTTATGTTTTCGAAGTATGCCGATTGAAATATTTTTTTATTTTTTTTGTGAAATTTTTCAGTATTCTTTGTGACTCTCACTCTTTTTAGCATGGTTTTAAAAGCCATCTAGATTGTAATAATAACTTTTTTGCGTTTTTTTTTAATTTATTGTTAAATTCCATTTCTTATTCAAAAATTTTTCTCTGTAATTCAGTATCCTTCCATTTGGAAGACAAGAAAGGTTGTATGCACTGAAAAATTCAATTTTTTTTTAAATGCATTAATTAGAATCAGTTGAGCTAAAAATATTGATCAATTCCCTTCACACATTTAAACTAAATATAAATTTGCAATTTATTTTTGATCATTTTGATTTCCCTAATAGATATATATGGCATTATGGTGAAGTAACATTGTAGTGCGTACATATTTAAACAAGCTTGAAACAGAACCTTTATATTTTTATTCTTTAATGACAAAAACATTTTCTTACCAAGCTTTTGTAAAATTTCTCATAGCTGAAACATTTTGCATACATTTAGGAGACCTGTCTTTTTTTAACTCCCATAAGTATTGCTATACAAATTCATCAGTTCTTCATACTTTTACGGAAAGACATGTTATACATACATGGTATAGACAAAAAGCTAATTGCATAAATAACTTTTTATTAGAAGGTTTTTTAAATAAAATCTTGAATCCAAAATTCAAATTCAAACAACTAGAACAATTTTTTTCTATTAGAAGTCTATTTATAATGTTTAACTAATTATGATTACAAAATAGTGCCAGATTATATTAAAAGACTTTGTAGAAAGTATATATAAATCAGTAGAAGTTAAAGGTTCGTAATAGTAATAACAGTGAACAACAAAATTTTACTCCACCGAAAATATCAAGTGTAACAAAGAAAATTTTAGAAAAGTAAGCTAATGCAAAATTGTACCTTTTTTCTCATGTAGATACAGTAGAAAATTCTACATAACTGATTTAATCAAGCATTTAGTTAATCGAAAATAAAACTGACAACTAAAAATATCAAATGAAAATCATTGAAGTTAGCCTTAACATAAATTTTTATTTTTTAAAAATTTGAATGAGTTTTCTTGCAAATTTGAATGAGCAATTTCACCTGCGCGCAAATAAAAAGGTAACCGAATGTAGAAACACATTTTCTATAACTTAACTTTTTATATATTTTTCTTCTTTAATTAATACAATTTATCACAAAAGCAATTACATATATTTCTTTGAAAGTTCGCTTAAATTAATGTAGATATAAGTAAATATAATAAATTGTATACTTTAAATATAATAATTGTGTAAAAAAGGTATTTTTGCTGAAACTTATATTGGTGCAATAGACATTTTTATTATTTATAGGTTGCCATCATTTTATTTATCCATCCTTTATAAAGCGGTACTCGTGTATAAACACCAGGATGTTGTTTTGTAGCTACGTTTTGCACATATAAAAGTATTAAAAATAAAGTTTTAAATATTATTTAAATTTATAACGTCGCCATCAGTAAATTGTACTTACCACATCCATCACCCCATGAAACAACTCCTACTAAACGTCCATTATAAGTTATGGGACCACCAGAGTCACCTTGACAAGAATCTTTTCCACCTTGTGGTACTCCAGCACAAAACATTGTATCGAACAAACCATTATTATAAAGCTTTTGACATTTTGCAAATGAAAACATTTCAACCCAAACCTTTTTCAAATATGGAGCTAAATTACCCCCAGATGAAGTTGTACCAAAACCTGATACTTCCATCTTTACACCATTTGCTGGTAGATGTGTTGCTCTTGCAATAGCACCTATATAACTACTTTTAGTAAAAGGACTTTTTAAAAGAATCAAAGAAATATCATTGTGTAATGTATTGATATTGAAATCTTGACGGCGAATAAGCCTTTTTGCCGGTTTTACAACACCACCATAATTCCAATTATTAGAACCAGCACGTACATGTGTGTTAGATGCTGACTGCCCATAAACGCAATGTCCAGCAGATAAAACCCATTTCTGAAAAAGTTACAAATTGCACAATGTTAATAACAGCAACCTAATTTTAAAGAGAAAATTTGTAATATTTTCACTTTTGAACCTACCATAGAAAGTAATGAACCACCACAAAGATACGGCCCTAACGTAACAGCAACCTGAAATTTGCGATATTTAACTTTTACCGCAGTACCACCAACAATTCGATCATCAACTAGGGGAACCGTTGTAGAATCAGAAGCCTCTGCTTGAATATATGAAATGAGTGCTAAAAAAATCGCAAAAGTACCAATAAACACACGAAACCACATTTTTAATTAAACTAAATTTGAAACTAAGATGGTTTGCGATATTTAAAGCCTGAAAAAAGTTTGTTCTAATATTCCGATTTATTTAAATTCTATTATTCCAATTTCAATTTGTATTTGTGATTATTTTAATAGCATAATATGATATTCGTACCACCTCCTATTATTACGCAATGTATTTGTTAATTTTATACACAGTAGTCTACCGTTTTAATCACGATTACCTAATAATTTTTTTGATTCTTGTTTAATTGCGGTAAAAGGAATTTAAATATTCTTCCATTGTCAAATTATATTTTTTAATTTTTAGAATGCCCCAAATTATCAGAAGTTACAAAACGTTGGTAGATCCCAGTAGACTCCGCTATATCAATATCTTGGCTAAAATTAAGCTTTCACACACAAATAAGACATGGAGGACAAAACATTCACTTCTTCCGGTTTTGAAAAATTTATTAGAATACTCATACTTTGTGCTAAATCATAATTGTCAATAATCTGTTGCCGAAAAAGATTTTAAGCCTGCGAAAACACCGGTTGGAAATTATAAAGAAGCACGGTCTACTTATATACATATATATTTTTAATTTAAAAAATTATAATTCCCCCATTGCATTTGTAACTTATTATTTTTTTTATAAATACACCATTATTTTAACTCACATTTTCTATTAAAAACTAAACCATATATCAACTGAATTAAATGAAATGCTTTTGGCATCACATTTTTTAATTGTATACCCTTTCAAAGAGTTACAAGTTCAAAGAGTAACAGCAAAATAAATATCTCTTAGATATTTAGACTTTTCATTATTAACTGGGATATTTTATTAATACCAAATGCAAAATTTAATTAATTATGGTTCTGACCAACTTAATTATGGTTCTAACTATGACCTTTGCTTAACAATTAAAATTTAAGTTGAATTCACATTCGCAGACCTAAACATCAATTCGACTTAATGAGCAATACAATTTTCATCGCTAAAAATATTAAAATTGTATTAAATCGGTATTTGGATAAGTTTTTGTATAATTAAGAATACTGTCCAAAATTTAAATAAAATTTTTTGGCCGAAGTAAAAAAGCCTGTTCTGAAATTTTCTGTACAAGATTTTTAGAAAAAAAAACTCTATATTATATACCCACTAATTACCCGGGAATACACTGTGTTAATATTATTTCTGTTTTTATTATATTAAAATCGTTTAAATTATTTAAAGAAAATATAAGTTGTAATAATATAGATAAAACTGACACATACTTAGAAAAAACACTTTATTTGCATTTAATTAGACGTCAACATTCGCTTAATCGCTTAAATTTACTATATATTAACCATAAAAGAAAAATCTGATGTTGTCACCACATACGCGGTCATATTATATAATATATTGTAAATACAATATTTTTCCAATTATTTGTGAAATAATACCCATATCACATTTCTGCGGAATTCACCATGCACCAGAAGTTTTTTTAGACTTTTATTTATTTTCAATTTTTATTTAGTATAATAAAAGTTTTATATAAGTTTTATATAAAAATTAGTAAAAAAAATTTTTTATCCTTAATCACTTTTCCATTTTTTGTTTTTTACCCTTTTTTCTCATTAAAATTGATTGACGTTGCAATTGGCCGTAATTTATGTGGAGTACCATTTCGAATAAAAAAGAAATAAAGACAAAACTAGAAAAAAATAGAGTTGGCAATGTCAGCTCTGTAATACCCGCACGAATTTGTTATCCTATGTGCGAGTAAATATCCTATGAGACTGCTGCCGTTTTACCATATTTTTTTTCAGTAAAGTAAAAAACAGAAAAATTTCAGTACTGTAGGTTGAATAGTTTTTAAGATATAGCCAAATAACTTTTCAAGTTGTATGGCAGCTACTAGAAAGAGCCAAGCAATATCAATGAGTTTTATCAAACACAATTATCCAAATAATATATTTGCTTGTGCAATTAATATATTTCAATACGATAGCTTCTATAATTTCAGACATATAGCCAAAACGAATTTTCAAGTTAGATGATAACTACCTGAACCAGTACGTTGATCATATCCAATTTAAAATATAGTGTTCTATTATTTACTATAATAAATCATTTGTAAAAATTTGGTGAACATAGCTAAAATTATTTAATTATACAAACAAACATCATTAATATTCTTTTTTTTCTTTTCTCCCAGTATTGGAAATGAATTCAAGTAAGAAACAGCTAAAGAAAAATGAAATTGTAAACAAATGATGAGAATGAACTAATTAATGTTCAATTTTTTGGAGTTTATCTCACACATGCAATACTTTTTTTGGCGGTAGGAGAGGTATAAATTAACCATTCTGTTAACCATCCCAGTAAAGTGCTATGTTCAAATAAGTTTAAAACAAGTAAAAACGTTTCACTCGGTACAAACAAATCAACAATATGTCTGACCTATAATTGGGCATCCGACTACCAAGTTTCATGAATCTGACTTTATAATTTTTCCAAATATTTAAAACAAGCTTTTGGAGTTGTATGGCAAGTACCCGAACCATTCAAGCAATTCCATCAAAACTTCAGAAATATGTTTGACCTATAATTGGACACACGACTGCCAAAGCTCATGAATCTGACTTTTTTATTTTTCCAAATATTTAAAATAAGCTTTTAGACTTGTATAGGAGCTACTCGAACCTGTCAAGCAATTCCACCAAAACTTCAGAAATATATCTGACCGATAACTCGACACACAACTGCCAAGTTTCATGAATCTGACTTTATTATTTTTCCAAATATTTAAAATAAGCTTTTGGAGTTGTATGGCAAGTACCCGAATCTGTCAAGCAATTCCTCTAAAACTTCAGAAATATATTTGACCTATAATTCGACACATGACTGCCAAGTTTCATGAATCTGACTTTATTATTTTTCCGAATATAAAAAATTTGCTGTTGGAGTTGTATGGCAGCCATCCGAACCGGTGCAGCTATCCAATTTTAATTTTTAGAGCATGTGTAGAATATAATTGGACACATGTGTACAAAATTGTATATTTATAGCTTTATTAGTTTTTGAAATATTTAAAATAAACTCTCTGAGTTATATGGCAGCTACCCGAACCCGTTGTCCGAATTAGTCCAATAACAATAGGGTTCGTCCTTGGCACAAAAGAAAAAACTTGTGAAAGTTTGGTGTCGGTTATTCGTTTTTGAGTTATCGTGCGATCGGACGAACGGACGGACGGACAGACGGACATGTCTAATCGACGCAGAATTTTACGCTGAGCAAGAATATATATATATATGTCCATACCGCAGATGACTCCTTCAAGTAGTTACAAACTCCATACCAAAGTTAATATAACCTTCACGAAGTGCAGGGTATAATAAAATTTTATATAGAGACTTTTTGTTGAAAATTCTGTGAGATATTGTAATAAAATTCCACGAAAAGTCATCATTTCATTTATATAATCAAATCTAATTAAAGTTCAAATTTCATCTGTAATTCGTAATTTTAATTGAAATGAGAATGAAAGATTATTCCTTTCTTTTTTACAAGATAAAAGTTACATTACTTATATTTGTTAACGTGACGCAATTAATTTCGCGCACGTAATCAATATATTTATAGCATCATCATTAAAGAGACAACAATCATGATTTGAAGTACAAAAATATTTGAATATTTATATTTAATTAATAAAGAATATTTATTAAATAAAAATAATTATCGATGTATGTGCGATAATTATTTTTAACTAGAATAAAATAAACTTAAAATTTGCGATACCAAAACCAATATTTATTTTTAATTTTTATAAACAGTTTATTTTATTAAAAAATATTTTAACATTTTAAAAAATTGGGTGAAATTATATTGAAATCCGTTTTAATACTTGTTGATTAAAGCCAAATAATTACAAAGTATAGGTGTTATAAGTAAAATGTTGACGTCGCTACTACTACCAATGTTGTTGATGTGTATAAAAATTTGTTAAACACAGGAATATTTTGGTTGCAAATCATATTTCCACCCAATTTCATAAAGTTCATACAAATTGGAAAAAGTGAAGTTAGCATATCACTTCTTAAAAAATCCTAAAGCATTGTGCCTTGAAAACAAAACAGAAGGGATTTCTTCGGCGAAATGTCAGAATTCATATAAAATACATAAATTTAAATGGGGCTGCCCAGAATCAAACTAAATTACATTCGTGAATTTCTCCTCGAAATAGCTTAAATTTATATTTCACCGCTGGCGGTTTTTTTGACATTATCTGTTTTCATGTGTGTGTGACATTATATACAAAATGCTGTATAGTTCATTTTGGCATTCCACTGTTGTTCTGGGTTAACAGCGAAAATTTTTTTATCGTTCCGCTTTGATTAATGTTCAATGCTCCGCTTTGATCAAACGTATAAAGATTTAATCAAGGGCAAAAAATTCAATGAAATTCAAAGAATAGTTGTGCTAACTTAGTCGCAAAATAATCAAGAGTTAATGATTTTTCAATATCTGTCCAGCTATCAATATTTTCTGAAGAGTTTCATCTTTAGATATGGTTTGCTTCCAAAACATTGTATGAATATTTGTATGAATAGTCTTACAGAAATTTGTGTAATATTTATTAAAGAATTATTTAAAAAAAAAAAAATCGAAAAACTAGAAAATAAAAATTCTGATCGACGAAAAATCTGAAGATGGTGTTTAAATATCCATGATTAATAAAATAACTTCAAAAAATTAATAAATTAACTTTTACTTGTATTTTTTTTAATTGATGTCAAATAAAATTTTATTTGGCATTAATTTGAATTTTGAATGTTATTTTATTCTCACTACATATTTGATTTCCATCTCTGAAATAATATTTTTTAATATTTAAATATTTGTTTAAGTTTAGTTGAGAAATACTATAAAACATTAAATAAATATTTAATAATCATTCGAATATAGTGAATCAAATATGT